AACAAAATAAAATAAATTCAAGTTGTTTTCCACATCCAGAAGTTCACTATTATCTCAAGAATCATAGATAAATATTCAGAAGCCCCCTGATTTTTCACTCTGTGCCTTTGAGCCTTCCTAAATGGACAGATCACCTGCCTGAGGGGACCACATAGAGCAGAGTCAGTGAGCACTCTGTTCTCTCAGTTCCACTAGCTAAATGTGGTTTTTTGTTTGTTTTCCTGCTGGTATTGAGATGTGATATTGGAGCTCCATGGCCTTCTGTGAAGCTTGTTGACAGCTCATGCACTAAAGGCTTTGTAAAAAGTGAATGAAGGCTGAGAGCAGTGGCTCATGCCTATAATCCCAGCACTTTGGGAGGCCAAGGTGGGTAGATCACTTGAGGCCAGGAGTTCAAGACCAGCCTGGCCAATGTGGTGAAACCCCATCTCTACGAAAAATACAAAAATTAGCCAGCCGGGCATGGTGGTTCATGCCTGTAATCCCAGCACTTTGGGAGGCCAAGACAGGCGGATCACGAGGTCAGAAGATCGAGACCATCCTGGCTAACACGGTGAAACCCTAACTCTACTAAAAATACAGAAAAATCAGCTGGGCATGGTGGTGGGTGCCTATAGTCCCAGTTACTAGGGAGGCTGAGGCAGGAGAATGGTGTGAACCCGGGAGGTGGAGCTTGCAGTGAGCCAAGATCGCACCACTGCACTCCAGCCTGGGTGACAGAGCGAGACTCCATCTCAAAAAAAAAAACAAAAACTAGCCAAGCCTGGTGGTGGGTGACTGTAGTCCCAGCTACTGGGAGGCTGAGGCAGGAGAATCACTTGAACCCAGGAGGCGGAGGTTGCAGTCAGCCAAGATTATGCCACTGCACTCTATCCTGGGTGCCAGGTCAAGAGTCTGTCTCAAAAAAAAAAAAAAAAAGTGAATGAAGATATGAAGATATGACAAATCTTCATGCTTTAAGCAGTCACTTCTATGACTCAATTACTTGACTCAGAAATCCAAATAACTGTGAGATCTGAACAGTGTATGTAATATAATACATATATGACTTCTAGAACTAACATCTTCAATAATGAAGAAATGGTTGCTTAAGATCTGCCCATGTGATTGAAGCTAGAACCGTATATGTTTGGGAGCAGCCCGTAAAGCGCTATTGCTTCAAAGGATACAAGGGATTGAGGATGGAATGCAAATGTCCAAGACTAAAACTTGAATGAAAAGAAAAGATGAACCTCAAATTCATTTGCTTTCACAAGCAGCATCTTTTCCAAATAAGCAGCCCTTTGGAGGGAGTGCAGGGGACCCGGGAGGAGCATGTGGGTGCTGGACTCTGTGGGTTGTGGGAGTCGATCCAGGACGCCGGAATTTTGGAGAAAGGCTTCTTTTGTCTTCCGCACATCATGCTGCAGCTCCTGTAGAAGAAAAAGAGATCACAAACACCTCTTCCTCCTTTCAAACCACAATTTCCTATCCGCTGCTGCTCCACCAAAATCTAGAAGAATATTTGCCCTGAAAATGTAGGCATGACCTTCTGTTATTATTATTTATTTTAAATAGCTGAAAAGGCTGGGCTTTCTTGAAATGATGTACATTACTGGCACTTTTCTGAAATTTGTCAGTTCAAAACTAAAAGTGACCACTGACTAATAGAGTTGAGGCTTCTAGTACATAGAAACTGGAGACAACCTGGGTACTCATGTGCTTTATATTTCAGTTGTCAAACAATTTAGGTATCTGCTTTCATGTTTCAAGAATCAATGCAACTCCGACTCCTACCTTAGACTTTCTGATATAAATGGATTCATGTGCAAAAACTATAGAATTTTATTAATTAGGCTGATTTTAAGGCTATTCTGGAAATACTGTGTATATACAATTTGTTTTTTTTAAAATTTTTAAATATCAGCTCAGGTAGAAGTTAATCAGACGTACAGAGTATATCTGTTGGATTCCCACCTAATTAAATTGGCTGCCACTTTTTGATTTGACCTATAGTAGCAGAAGATAGAAAATGCATCAGTTCACCCAGTTCAGAACTAAATAGTATTAACTTTCTGAGCGTTCATTAACAGTAGTAGAAAAAACACCATAGAGGAAATTATGCAAGTTTTTAATATAGTCTGAAATTTACTATACCCACAGTAAAGGCCTAGCAACATGGCACCAAGTTCATGATTATCACCAAACAAGAGATACAACATGTATTATTTTTACAGGGTCACACTCAGTTGATCTTCATGCTTTAAGCAGTCACTTCTATGACTCAATTACTTGACTCAGAAATCCAAATAACTGTGAGATCTGAACAGTGTATGCAATATAATACATTGTTTTTACTTCAGACTTCATATGAAGCTTTTGCCTTAGAGATTTAACACTAGAGAGAAAGCGCAGACTTGGAACGAGGTGATATCGGGTACCCCTTATCCAACTATTTGCTGCCTGGACGTCACCTCTGAGCTACCACCTGGTCCTCCCAGCCTTGCCTGTGTCCTACATGGCCGGCTTACAGCATCTGTCCTGACTGACTTCTCTGTCCCTGTGGTCTGTCTGGTCCCCAGGTCATGGCCGTCCCTTACTGGCCCCGTCTGTTGGGCTGACTTGGCCTTGGCTTTCCAAATGGACTTTGTTCCCACCTTTATGTCCTGCAGGGCTGGGGGCAGGATCTCTGCCAGGTTGTTTCCAGACATGCTGATGTTTGCGAGCTGTTGAAACTTTGCTTCCTGCTGCTTCAGCCTTGCGGTAGCTTCGCCATGAGCATTGCTATAGGCCTTCCAGAGCTGGAGCAGACTCTGGGCCTTCTGCAACTGGTCTGCAACAGCTTGGTTCACCTGAGTCCACCTGTCAGTGCAATGTAAATAACATGACCCTCATTCTCTCCTTTACCTTGTAGCAAAAGTACAATGCACACACTCTACTGGTAAGTTATTAGCAGATGGATCATTAACAAGACACTGTTAAATTTTTAAAATTTTTTAATTTTAAGTTTTTAAAATTAGTGGCATCACCATCATAAAAACCATTATATAAAAAGAAATCCAGATTAGGCTATTTACTTGACTTTATAATATTGCACAAAAACTACAAAATTTATGATTGGCAACAAATACCTATGATGTTATGAATGTTTCACTCTCTGTTTTTAAGGGAGGGGAGTGATGAAGGGAGCTCAAACTTTTTTTTTTTTTTTTTTTGGTACAGACAGGGTGTTGATATGTTGCCCAGGATGGTCTCAAACTCTGCAGCTCAAGTAATCCTCCCACCTCAAGCAATCCTCCTGCCTCAGCGTCCCAAAGTGTTGGGATTACAGGTGTGAGCCATGGTGCCTTGCCTATGAATGTCTCTTTGGCAAAGATGGAGAAAACACTGAACTGTATGCCTGATAAAATGTCTCCACATGAAGAGGCTCCCAGTTTACAGAGATATGCTATCTTTAAACAGGCTTTAACATTGCATTTACGTCAAATAAAAATTCTTTTCTGTTTACACAAATGTTCCTTACATAGAAGTGGAAATAAAGGAAATTGTTTTATTATTCCATATACAGACTGTAGTATCTTGCCTTTCTTTCCTACTTTTTTTTTTTTTTTTCCTGAAACAGGGTCTTGTTCTGTTGCTCAGGCTGGAGTGCAGTGGTGCAGTCTCAGCTCACTGTAGCCTTGACCTCCTGGGCTTAAGCGATCCTCCCATCTCAGCCCCCACAGGTAGCTAGGACTACAGGTGCATGCCACCATGCCTGGCTAATTTTTGTATTTTTTTTGTAGAGATGGGGTTTCACCATGTTACCCAGGCTGGTCTTGAACTCCTGGACTCAAGTGATCTGCCCACGTCGGCCTCCCAAAGTGCTGAGATTACAGGCATGAGTCACTGTGCCCGGCCCATTTAACTTTTAAAAAATATTTTCCCCAAGTTATTAATAAAAGAAAATAAGTAAACTTCATTTTAAATGGCTGTAGAAATGGTCTGCGGGGTTTTCCCCTTTGTTTCCGTAGTTTAATTGCTAAATTCCTTAGTTTAATTCCTGTTTAGTATGGATAGTTAAGATATTTGTAATTTTTGCTATTATGATAATGCTCAGATACAGTTTTGTTCAAAAGGCTTTTTTTCTGTATTTCAAGATATCAGTCTTAGACTAGATTTCTGAGAGAATTATAGAGTCAAAGAATATAGAGATGTAAATATTTGTAAGGTTACGGGAATAAACGGTCAATCTGCTTTCTGAAAGCATTATATTTACATTCTAACATGAAATACATGAGAATGTTTGCTCCACAATATCCTCAACCCTGCTGATTAAAGAATAAAAGGTGCTTTACTTTTATGCATTTCAAAAATCTTATCAGAACTCTTTTAAAATAAGATTTTCCCTAATTATAAATACAACATATATTCACTGTCAAAAAGCAAACAAAATCCCTCCAGATATTTCTTTCTTCTTATCTATCTATCCAACCTACTTACCAATCCATGAGGAAGTTAAAATATGCTTGACATCTCATTTATCTAGAGGTAACTACTATCAGCATTTTGGTATTCTTTTCTTCAGTCTTTTTGCTATGCATGTTTTTCAACATGCCTTCCAACATATTCTTGTGCCAACAAATGAATGTGTATGTGCAGCGTAACAACTGAGTTCCTTTAGCAACAGACTGCCCTGCCACATGTTTTGAGGGTAGCCCTGATATTGTATGTGGAGTCAGATGCATTTGCATGTTCCTCTTAGTCTCTCTTCTCCCCCTCTTCCAATAAAGACTGGATCAAGAGCTAAGGGCACCACCGCAGGGTGTATAATTTGGTGTCCCTTGTTCATTACGTGTTCAAAGTTGATTTACAAGAGAGGCTGAAACTGCACAGAGGAATAATCAGGAAGGACACTTAAGATAGCATAACTCTTCATCCCTATTTCTAATCAATTGGTTGGAGGCCAACTTCTATATCCCACTCATCAAAATAAAAGCCCTGCAATTAACCAGGGCCACACTCCTTAAAGGGAGCTTTCATATCCCACCATAAGTAGTTCATCGAAGAATTCCTTCCAACCCCACAAAGGCCCTCCCCAGTAGATATTCTAACATTCCCTTTCTTCCACCTCATAATGTTTCCAGTGATGTTTGAACATCCCCTGCAGGCTGCCCATCTGGCCCACCCCTTTGTCTGTTTCTGCCTCTGACTTCGAGATCAAACTTGACATTTGGTCTATACCTTCTGTAAGTGAGTACACTGGGTTATAATTAGGCCATTTCTAGACCAATTATACCAAACACGTGTACGAGGGATGTCATAGCCCTCATGACATAGAATCTTACATAGACTAGATCCATCAAAGCAGAAGAGACCAGAATAGGTTTCAGTCATCTCAGAGGAGGAAGAAGACTCTGCAATGCCTATGCCCCTCATTCTTCACCAGCCATTAAGAGGAAGATATCGTCATTCAGATTACATCTGAAAGCATACCTTTTATGAGTATTTTGGCATTTCTCTTCGATTATTTCAGCAACAGAGGGGCAGAGACCTTTGAGTTTGCCAATAACCTCCTGGAGTTTCTCCCAATTCCCTTCGCTGCTCTCAGCTTCATCTTGCAGAGACTAAGAGACATATACAAGAAATTTAAGTTTCAGAATGGCCTGGTGACTTCTAAAGAAGGCAGCAGCTTCTCAACACTTGCTACTATGTAGCAATAACACTCAAATCTTACAGCTCTGATAAACTATTAGGAATGGGAAGAAAACAATGGAGAAGGCATTCTTCATTTGAGGCTGAACTTTTAAGTACTAAGTAATATTAAGTATTTAGTACTTAGGTGTACTAAAAAAAAAAAAAGTCCACGCAAAAACCAAAACCTTAAATTGTGAAATAATATGGACATGGAAAATAAAGATTCGACATTTTCAAAATTCAAACATTTTACAATGTTTTACTGATTTGGCTCATGTGACTTATTTTGGAATTTCCAGTTATTCTTTTGAAACTGCTATTTAACATGCTTTGTGCTTCTCTGTGGGAGGGCACAAACACAGTTATGCCCATTACTCTGCTTCCTCCCATTTGTAATTTCCTGCCAATAATGCACCGTGCCAAGCTCTGGTTAATTTACCTGAAGGTTCTCCACCTGGCATCTCAAGGCCTCCAATGATAACACCACAGGCTTGCTGTGTTCCATGCAGTACCAGAATCGGATTGTCATCATATTCACTTCATCATAGAGTTGATCATAAATCTTCCACTCCTGTAAAACCGACTGCATGGAGGTTTTGAGCTGATTGACCTAGACAAAAAGTGGAAACATACTGATTTAGAAAATCACTGAGAAGACATGCTCTCCAATGAATCTACCATTGTGTCTAATTTAGTTATTTCAACTTGAGAGTATTGAAGGATCATCAGTGATGAACTGAAGGTGGAAAGGGTAGGTCAATGCCTAAGAAAATATCAGAGAAGGCTGTTTTATAACGAGTGAATGAAAATGAGCCCAAAGATCAGAAGGATCAGCACTGAAAGAGTTCAGACTAGGATGAGACAGCCCAGGGAAAGAACACTGGGAGAGTATTAGAATTTATGAGTGCAAGGGTCAGTTATATTCTATTAGCTTTCTGACCTTACGTAACTTATTGAACCCTAGAGTCAGTTTCCTCATCCACAAAACAGAGATAATAATTGAAAACACAAATAAAATAGTGTCTGTGAAAATGCTCTGACAACAGCACAACATTATAATTGTAAGATGCTACCTGGCACTTAAGTCTGATTATTACTATAGAGCAAGCACCAATTGGAGAGGAATATGCTCTACCCAAACAATAGGCAAGTGCCAAAGCAGGAGGCAATGCAATGCTGGGTGTATTTTGTCCACCGCTATGTTCTGATAACGATGAAAAAAGTCCAAGCATTTTGTTGCATATAGAAAATGGTCTCAGATACAATAGAGAATATGTAAAAAAAACTTACAACTCAACGATAAAAAGACAGATACACCAACCAAAAATTGGGCAAAGGATGTGACTAAACGTTTCTCCAAAGAACATATACAAATGGTCAATAAACACACGAAAAGATACTCAACATCCACAGTCATTAGGGAAACCTAAATCAAAACCACAATGAGATATTTCACATCCACTTTGATGGCCATAATCAAAAAGTCGGATAATAATGTGCTGGTGACGATGTGGAAAATCTGGAATCCTTACACATTGTTGGTGGGAATGTAAAATGGTATAGTCGCTGTGGAAAACAGCTAGACAGTTCCTCAAAAAATTACATGGAGTTGCCATATGACCTAACAATTGTACTCTTAGATATACACAGAAGAGAATTAAAAGCATATGTTCACATAAAAACCTGATACGAATGTTCATAGCAGCATGACTCATGAGAGCCTAAAAATGGAAACAAACCATATGTTCTTCAACTGATGAAGAGAGAAACTAAATCTGGTATATCCATACAATGGAAAATTAGTCAGCCATAAAAAGAAACGAAGTAATGTAAGTACTACAACACTGATGATCTTGAAAACATTATGCTTAGTGAAGGAAGCCAGATCCAAAAGGCTATGTAGCATATGATTCTGTTTATATAAAATGTCCAGAATAGGTAAATCCATAAAAAGGTAGACTAGCAGCTGCCAGGGACTGGAGAAGGGGAAAAGTGGGGAGTGACTGCCAATGGGTATGGAGGCTTCTTTTGGAGGTAATGAAAATGTTCTGTAATGAGACAGTGCTGATGGCTGCATATCTCTGTGCATATGCTAAACACCACTGAACTGTACCTTGGAAGGTGAATTTTATGGTATGTGAATTATATCTCAATTTTTAAAAAGGATCTGGGTTGAAATGGAATGTGATCACTATAGTGGCTCAACAGGCCATCTTTATGGGTAGTGTGATGTGAACTTTGGGTACAATCACACGGCTCTGCACTCAGACCCTGTTTTCTGCTTAACAACTACAGGGAAAACTGGCACATCCACGGTGACAGGGAGGCTTCTCAATCTCTGGCCCAAACAGGGCTGGATAAAAACAAAAGCGGATGCTAAAATGTGAGTTTCATGTTGGCAACTATGTGGGCCAAATGTCTTTATAAGGGCAGGATGGCTCAGAAAAAGAAACCAAGTTATTTAGTTAAGAAAATAAAGAAGACGGCCAGATGTGGTGGCTCACGCCTGTAATCCCAGCACTTTGGGAGGCCAAGGCAGGCAGATCACCTGAGGTCAGGAGTTCAAGACCAGCCTGGCCAACATGGTGAAACCCTGACTCTACTAATAATACAAAAATTAGCCAGGCGTGGTGGCGCACACTTGTAATCCCAGCTACTCGGGAGGCCGAGGCAGGAGAATCTTTTGAATCTGGGAGGTGGAAGTTGCAGTGAGCTGAGATTGTGCTACTGCCCTCCAGCCTGGGCAACAAGAGTGAAACTCTGTCTCCAGAAAAAAAAAAAAAAAAAAAAAAAAGAAAGAAAAAAAAATAAAGAGGAAAGGCAAGGAAGGAATTCCTCATCGATGTACATTTTTTGCCAGAAACGATCTCAGATCTATCCGGGTGGCAGCGATAATTCTAGCACAAAGTACCGCATCATCCCAGAGCCCACAGGTACATATCAACACAAGAACTGCCATGGCTCCTGTTGCACGAGGCCTTTGCAGCTTCCACAGATAAAGGTGGTGGAACTTCTGGCGCCTTGAAGGCCTTCTGGCCTTATAATAAAGCTTCATGGAAAAGACATAGTACACATGATTTGAGGGAAAGGGTAAGAAAATCATCAAGTAATTTTCTTTCATCATTCACTACACTAAAAACAAGCCGGAGGAGTATTTTCAAAATGTTCAAACTGGGGTCATCAGTAGGGCAGCATTTATTGAGCACTGCATAGGTATCGGTATTAAGATAGAAATAAATAAGTAGGTGTTATCCCCATTTTACAGACCAGAAAATCAAGGCTTAGAGATGTTAAGTAACCTGACTGAAGATACAGATCAAAAATGGTGCCGCCAGGATCCTTATTTAGGCAGAAACTGCAAAGCCCTTGCTCTTAAACACTAGGTTATATTGACTCTTGTTTACCCCTGGGCTCAAGTAATCCTCCCATCTCGGACTCCCGAATAGCTGGGATTACAGGTGCGTACCACCACACCCGGCTAACTTTATTTGCTTTTTGTAGAGATGGGGTCTTACTCTGTTGCACAGGCTGTTCTTGAACTCCTGGTCTCAAGCGATCCTCCTACCTTGGCCTCCCAAAGTGCTGAGATTACAGGTGTGAGCCACTGGGCCAGGCTTACATTGACTCTTGACAGCTTATAGATGGATGATCTGTGCCTCACGCCTTCTGCATTTTTTTTTTTTTAAATTCATGTACCATACAATTCATCTATTTAAAATGTGTAATCTCCACAATCAATTTTAGAAACTTTCATGACTGAAAAGAAACTGCATACCTGTTAGCAGTCACTCCTCATTCTCCCCCAGCCACTAATCTGCCTTCTGTCTTTTTAGATTTGTCCATTCTGGATATTCCATGTAAACAGAATCAAACAATATGTGACCTTTTGTGACTGGCTTCTTTCGCTTACCATAATGTTTCCAAGATCATTAGTGTTGTAGTATATATCAGTACTACTTCATTCCTTTTATATGGATAGACCACATTTTCTTTATATATTAATTAATAGATGGACATTTGGGTTGTTTACACTTTCTGGCTATCATGACTCATGCTATGAATATTCACGTAGAAGTTTTTGGTGTGGACATGCTTTCATTTATCTTGGGCTATCTATGGAGGAGTGGAATTGCTAAGTTGCATGGTAACTTTACGTTTAACCATTTGAGGAACTGCCAGACTCTTTTCCAACTCCATGGAACCCTGCCAGCAGTTTGTGAGGGTTACAATGTCTCCACATCCACATTAACACTTCTTACTATCTGTCTTTTTGTTATAGCTATTCTAGTGGGTGGGAAGTGGTATTTCTTTGTGGCGTTGATTTTCATTTCCTTGATGGTTAATGACACTGAACATCTTTTCAATGTGCTTTTTGGCCATTTATATTATCTTCTTTACAGAAATGTCTATTCAGATCATTTGTCTTTTTTTTTTTTTTTTTTGGAGACAGGGTCTCCCTGTGTTGCCCAGGTTAGACTGCAGTGGCGTGGTCTAGCCTCATTGCTCTTTCTGCCTCCCAGGCACAGGTGATCCTCCTGCCTCAGCCTCCTAAGTAGCTGGTACTACAGGCACTCACCACCACACCTAGCTAATTTTTTCTATTTTTGGTAGAGACAGGGTTTTGCCACGTTGGTCAGGCTGGTCTTAAACTGCTGAGTTCAAGCAATCCGCCCACCTTGGCCTCCCACAGTGCTGGGATTACAGGCCTGAGCTACTGAGCCTGGCTTGTATCCAATTTTTTCATTTGGTTATTTTTCCTTTTATTATAAAGTTGTGATAAATCTTCATATATTCTAGGTTTAAGTCCCTTATCAAATATATGATTTATAAATACTTTTTTCCCAATCTGTGGTTTGCTTTTTACTTTTTTGATGCTGTGCTTTAAAACATCAAAGTGTTTAGTTTTGATGAAGTCCAATTTATCTATTTTTTTCTTTGATGGCTTACGAGTTTGGTGTCATATCTAGGAAACCCCTGCCTAATCCACGAAGTCATGAAGATTTATACCTATGTTTTCTTCTAACAGTTTTCTACTTTTAGCTCTAATACTTATGTCTTTTTTTTTTTTCAATACAAATGGGGGTCTTGCCATGTTGCCCAGGCTGGTCTTGAACTCCTTGCCTCAAATGATCTCCCACCTCAGTCTCCCAAAGTGTTGGGATTACAGGCATGAACCACCATGTCTGGCCTGCATTTATGCCTTTAATCTATTTTGAGTTAATTTTTGTATATTGTATGAATGTAGAGGTCTAACTTCATTATTTTACATGTGGATATATGGTGTACCAGCACCATTTTTCAAGAAAATGTTTTCCCTCATTAAATTGTCTTAGAATCCTTGTTGAAAATCAATTGACTATAAATGTGAGGGCTTATTTCCGGACTCTCAATTCCATTCCAAAGTATATATATGTCTATCCTTATGACAGTACTATCTGCATGTTTTCACATGCATTATCTCATTTAATTTTCTCTTTATATTTTTATTATATTGTAATTATCTGTTCACATGTGTTTCTTCCACCTGCCTGTGAGCTCTTTGAGGGCAGGATTCATTTATTTTCTTGTTTATCTTTGTAACCCGGGCAGTGAGCAAAGTACCTCACACAATGTACGCTTAACAAATGACTGAATAAGCTCATCCCTATTTTTCTGCTAGATTCCTGGGGGAATGGGGACTGAGGAATGAGGCTGAGTGTTGCCTATGGATTTCGTGCAGGTTATTCCCTATTACCTCTTGGTACAAATGGTTGAAAGTAGATTTTAGTAGGTGACAACCCACAATGAAGGTTCTCTAGGAAACATGGACACATCCGTAATTGATGGTATAGATTATACCAATTGATAGATTATACTAATTGATTGGTATAATCGGTTAGTATTTTTAGTTCTCTTCCTCTGTTGTGGGAAAATGTCAAGGTTGCAATGTCTAGAGATGCCTGAGTTTGCTCTCTTTTGGTGCTCTCCTCCTGGAAGGGGTAAAATGCTGACACTGACATGCCTTTTGTAAGATTATTAGATGTCTTGCCCGCTTTCTTCCTTTATACTCCCTCTTCAACACCATGTAGTGTTTCTTTCAACCTTCAGAGTCCTCCTGGAGCTGACTATGCTCCTAGCTCATAGAGGCTGCAGGATACAGGATCACTTCCTCCCTAAGGCAGCTCCCTGTACATGGAGACACTGGTTCATCACTGTTTCTGTGTATCTTGCCAGGAAACAATGCCAGATACTCTGTTGGGTTTGGGGTATGGAGATATTTATGTCTGTGTAAGTACATTAGACAAAACAAAGATAACTAAGTGGATTTGCAGCCTGTCAATGACGTTGGAATTGGTGGCTTTGCCTCTAATTATTCGGTGCATAAAATGGGACTTGTAAAGCTTCTCTCTAACTTACTTCAATTATTTTTCTCAGCAACTTTTCAGTGTTTGGTATAGAGTCTCCACGAGTAAAGGACGAAAACAACAACAACAACAACAAATAAAATAAAAGAATACGTGGCTGGGCGCGGTGGCTCAAGCCTGTAATCCCAGCACTTTGGGAGGCCGAGACGGGTGGATCATGAGGTCAGGAGATCAAGACCATCCTGGCTAACATGGTGAAACCCCGTCTCTACTAAAAAAAACAAAAATCTAGCTGGGTGAGGTGGCGGGCGCCTGTAGTCCCAGCTACTCGGGAGGCTGAGGCAGGAGAATGGCGTAAACTCGGGAGGCGGAGCTTGCAGTGAGCTGAGATCTGGCCACTGCACTTCAGCCTGGGCAACAGAGCGAGACTCTGTCTCAAAAAAAAAAAAAAAAAAAAAGTGAAGAGAAATAGCACATTTCAAATGAATTCTAGTACCTGAGTGAGAACACTGCTTCTCTTTTGAAATAACCCATCAATTCGGGATGCTGTATCTTCTAACAATGGCATTGCCCCACTCTCCAAAGTCAGATAACTTTGTTTCAACTCATCCAGTGCTTTGGATTTAATTGCAAGTTGACTTTCTGTATCCTGGAAGGGTAACAGGAAAAGGTTTTCAATGCACAATATTAGAAAACAAATAATAAGGTGTCAGAGACAGGTGTTCACTCTTTCCAAGTAAAAATGCCATTAGATTATATAATTAAATAGCATTACATCAAAGACATTTAAATCATAATACTCTTAGTTCAATTACATATGACACAAGTCTGTATTTTAGGAGAATCTAGGCAACACGTCTGAACCATCATGGCAGAGCAGAAAGGATGCTGGTCTGAGATCTGGTCCCCATTCCACGTCTGCCCTGCACTGGCTGTTTGACCAGGCGTAAGTCATCAAACCTATGCGTCTCCATTTTTTCATTTGGAAAAAGTGATGATACCCCATACCATGTGTACCAAGGCCAAGCTGAGAACTCAAATAAAATCACAAGCAGGAAGGTGCCTTTAAACTATGTAGCATCATATAAATGACAGACGATATAACTGTTGGTAGTTCAGTAATAACTTTAATCATTTTCTATCTCTTAGTTTATTAATTCACTCATAAGAGGCACCTTGACCTGGTCTACTCTTTATAGACACATTTTTAAAAACCTACAGGATCCCTCTACTACAAAGGACACCATGGAGCCAGCGGTCCAAAAACAGAGATGAATGAGGCCAGCAGCAACGCTGCCATTCTACTTAGAGGAAGGACGGTAGGAGCTGCTTATTTGTCCTTCTCGGGATTGCAGTTGAAATCCAACTTGGAAAAAGTTTAAACTTTTAAAAAATTATTAAAGCATTACATGCTCATTACAAAACCACTGGAAAACACAAGAGATCTTTGGCATTCAGAGGGATTCATTTTGAATTTCCCTCAAGTCTCCCAATTCACTAATTTGGGACACGCTTCTGCACACTTTCTTTAGCATTACATTTCCATCCAGATGCATGTGTTCTGAATGTATGGCCTCAAGTTAACGACCCTTCGCTCATGTTCTATTTCTCTCTTGAAAATTGCTTAGGATAAGGATCCCAGCTTTTTTTTTCTTTTTCTTTTTTTTTTTATCCTTTGTAAGAATCACTACACAGTCCATAAGGAAAGAGAAACATGAGTGCCTCGTGGGCATGGGGTAGCTGAGCAGGTGGTTGGGTTTGTACCCTGGTGAGGGACGAGCTCCCTCATGCTAGCCTCACAACGGAGCACTGAAATCCAGTCCAGCAAAACTGCCAGATTACCACATGTGAGGAGCCCTCAGGTCACTCTTGGAATGTGGAAATCACAAACTCTAAATCAATGAATGTCAGGGATCTTCTGGACTGGAAAGTAGAAAAAGGGAAAAAAATCTGTTCCATAAGAAACTAGGCTAGGGTTGGGAGTAAGAATGGACGACGAGAGAACGGAGCTGGAGGAATCTTCCACTCTATGACCCTCTATGCTTTTAGAATTTAGAGCCACATGAATATATAGCATATTAACAGAAGATCTCTCACTGTCGTAACCATCCACCCATACTAACATGTGGGTGAATTTATGAAATATTATTCTTCTGGACTGGTTACAAAGGCACCCAGGAAACAAAACGGCTTCTCTGAAATAGCCTTTGCCAATGAGATTCAGTCAGCTGCTACCTCTGTCCATCTCTGCCACCCTAACTCGCTCCCTCACACCCTGACAGCCTTATATATTAGCATGTTTCTTTTATCATAGGTTTAAACTAACTTTTTTCATCTGCAAAGTTATAACTGAAAACACTTTAAGAATATTCAATCACTTTCCTTCTTTCAATTTATAAAACAGTCTCTCCTAAAGGCTCGACTAACTAGAGATTTCTAAAAACACTTATTTACTAATAAGCTGTCATAATTCCCCGATAATTTAAAGGAAACTGATGAGAAATGACTACATAGCAGACAAAAGGAAATAACAACACACACACACACACACACACACACACACAGACTTCAAAAATGGCAGCATAAACAACAGCCATGCTGGGTATGGTGGCTCATGCCTATAATCCCAGCACTTTGGGAGGCCAAGGCAGGCGGATCACTTGAGCCCAGGAGTTTGAGAGCAGCCTGGGAAACATGACAAAACTCTGTCTTTACCAAAAAAAACACAAAAATTAGCTGGGTGTGGTGGCACGCGCCTGTAGTCCCAGCTACTTGAGAGGCTGAGGCGGGAGGATCCTTTTTTTTTTTTGAGACAGAGTCTTGCTCTGTCACCCAGACTGAAGTGGGGGTGATCTTGGCTCACTGAAAACTCCACCTCCGGGATTCAAGCCATTTTCCTGCCTCAGTCTCCCAAGTAGCTGAGACTACAGGCATGTGCCACCATGCCCAGCTAATTTTTGTATTTTTAGTAGAGATGGGGTTATCATGTTGGCCAGGCTGGTCTCGAACTCCTGACTTCAAGTGATCCGCCTGCCTCGGCCTCCCAAAGTCCTGGGATTACAGGCGTGAGCCACTGCGCCCAGCGTGGGAGGATCTCTTAAGCCTAGGAGCACAAGGCTGCAGTGAGTTATGACTGCACTACTGCACTCTAGCCTGGGTGACAGAGTGAGATCCTGTATCAAAAAAAAAACAACAAAAAAAACCAAAAAAAAAGCCACGGCAATAGCAGCACACGAACACCCACACATGGTGGGGTTGCTTGTTTCTTTTGCTCTGCAGAATAATACGGATTTGGCCCAGTAGTCCTGTCATCTGACCTTGCTTCACTGAGGCCTAACCGTACCCTTCAAGTTTCCCAACTCCCACTTCACCGGCAAATTAATGTCTTACTTTAAATTCTAATTTGCTACATATAAATCAGGGTGGAATTAAAAACAATCTTTTGCTAATTATGGAGATTGACTAGAATTTGCAAGTCCTGTTTTTCTATTCTGTGAGAACCAGCGTTAAATATTTTTAAAATATCTAAATTCCTCTGACTTTACCATGAACATAGTTCTTTAAGAAGCTATGCTTGCTTATATATAGAGGCATCAAACTTGAGGGATTAACAACCTCATCTCAAATCTCCCCACTCTAGTCAACTACACAATTTTCCTTGATAATTATAATGTGTCAAACGTGGCCTTTTTCCAGTCACCAATGACTTTTAGAAGCCCTTCAGAATATTTCAAATCCTAATGTCTTCATGTTTCATCAGCTCCAATCCTTAACTTTTCTAGAGTAAAGCCACTTTAGGAAGCTTACCTGAACTGAAGCATTCCACCCTGGGAGAAGTCATTAAAGTATACATCAATCATTTTCATCATTTTCTTTTCCTTTTTTTCAGTTCTTTTCGTTTTGTTTTTTTTTAGAGATGGGGTCTTACCCAGGCTGGAGTACCGTGGTGTGATCATGGCTTACGCTCGAACCCTGAACTCCTGGGCTCAAGTGATCCTCCTGCCTCAGGCTCCCAAGTAGCTAGGATTACAGGTGTGCAACACTATGCCCAAATAACTTTATTTATTTATTTTTTTGTAGAGACTGGGTCTTGTTGTGTTGCCCTGGCTGATTTTGAACTCCTGGCCTCAAGTGATCCTTCTGCCTTAGCCTCCCAAATTGCTAGGATTACAGGTGTGAGCAACTGCACCTGGTCTCATTTTAGTTATTATATGCAAAGAATAGTGAAAAAAAAAAAGAGAGAGAGAGAAATTAATATTTATAGAAAAGCAGCCTTTTAGGTCTACTAATAGATATACTCAAGCAACTATTAAGCACCTATGAATTTCACAGGCAGTGACAGGTATAACAGTCCTGCTGATGTGCCAGCCCGCCTTGAGAAACCCATAGTCTGGGAGAGGACAGACCCGTGGACAGATGAGTCAATACAGTCTCTGACACATGATGCTACGTGGGGTGCTAGGGAAGCCTGTTTTATTTATTTGCTTCCATCTCTGCCTTGTTTATGGCCTTTTACAAAGAGGCATCCAAGAAGCAGCATACAAATTTAAAATAGAAAAAAATGAGCTAAGGAAATGTGGGAGTTGGTAGGAAGGCACAGTTAGTGGGCATGTGGTGAGGGAGAGGGTCAGGGTGCTTCGACTGAGTTCTGACAAAAGCAGAGGAGAACCTGTGTGTGGATGGTGGGGGCGAGGGGAGGTAGGTAGAAATAATTCTGCAATCAGCTGCAAATGTAATGGCACAGAGGCAAATGGGGACTGACAAGGGATGATGCTGGCCAGGCACGTCTGTAAATTTCTTTTAAAGCTCCTTGTCTCAGTCAACACTAGTCATTTTTCTAACGAGCAGAGCGAATGTTAGAAATGGTTTTCTATTGGTAAAATTAATGGATTATTATTATTATTAGAGATGGGGTCTTGCTTTGACACCCAGGTCGAACTGCAGTGGCATGATCATAGCTCACTGTCACTTTGAATTCCTGGGCTCAAAGGATATTCTTCCCTTAGTTTCTTGAGTAGCTGGGACTACAGGCATGCACCACCATTCTCAGCTAATTTTTAAATAATTTTTTGTAGATTCAAGGTCTCACCATCTTGCCCAGGCTGGTCTTGAACTCCTGGACTCAAGCAATTCTCCCACCTCGGCCTCCCAGAGGGCTGGGATTATAGACATGAGCCACTGCAGCCGGCCTTAATGGCTTATTAAATAACATAATGAATATGAGAAATGGGTTCTCACTGGTAAATTTCATGTACTCAAGATCCATGGATTGGCTAAACTACTGTAGATACAATTTCCACCCCTACTTGAACAGGCTATAAGAACTGGGCATAGCCTGTTGCCTTCACCCGGTGCAATAATCCCTAAGGTAAGCCCTTATGTGGTTTTTGTATCCAGTTTAAACTCCAAGGATTCTGGTTGCCTAATGTTGGCCACAGAAATAATGGACGCTTGCTTCTGGAATATTACTATGTCTGTCTTTCATGCAAAGCGGTGGTTGGTGCGCTAAAGAGGACAGAGAGGCTTTGCTGAACTTATATAAAGTATTTTTAGAGCTTGCTTGCTAATCTATGTTTCTATAGATGGTGGCATTGTGTCTGGAATTTGTTTTATTACAACTCGGTAGTGAGGTTGTGGGAAGAATAGCTAAACTTAATCCATTTCAACCTTGGTCAGTGGCTACAATTATCTATCAAAAAGAGAACCAACTGTGTAAGACTTGCTTGACTTAGGTATATTTGCAACTCTTTGTAGGTGAGGGACCAGAATGTCATTCTAAAACATGTGAACTTCATTCTGTGGTCAATCTGGAGCCACTGGAGGATTTTCAAATGGAGATTGCTGTGACCCGTTGCATTTCAGAAATATCCCTCTGCAGCAATGTGGAGAATGAATCAGAAGGAAATGAGGGGGGAGGCTGGCAAGTGGGCTGGAAGCAGCTGCATGAGACAGGCCTGCACCGAGGGTGGTCTGAAGGAAGCCGGCCTGATTGAGACAGACTGGCCAGACAGTAAGGAGTAAGTGGAGAGCACCTAATGAGAAACCGGAGGTAGCGACACGCATGAAAACACCTTCTGGGCTCTGGAAAGAACCACCTGCTAGGGGACAGTCCAGCACCAGGCTGCGGAATGTAGGCTTCCAGTAAGGAAGCACACTGACTCCAAGGTGGCTGTCAGAAGGCTAAAGTGGAGACGGCTCATGGGGAGGTGGGTACAGGATATGAGCATGTGAAAAGGCCTCTTACGGTGGTGCTGCTGCTCACATTTACGTCCAGTGCTATCCCCTAACCTCCTCAGTAGAAATGCGGTCCGGCCAGACTTTCCAGTCCTGACAGTGACTATGCAAGGCCGTCAAACAGGAAGTGCAGAAACAGCACAGCGTGTGCCGCCTGCCATGATGGTGATGGCAGAGGTGCTTTGAATGGGCAGCAGTCATAAAGACAGTGCTAAAGCAGGATCAATGTGCAAAGACTCAGTGATTCGGCAAAGCACAGCTGAACAATGGACAACACCCTCAAGCCCAGTGTGATTCAGACAGAGGTTCCAAGGGACAAGTGAACTTTTTAAAACACAGTGTATGATAGGTAGAAGAAAATCATTTTCCTCTGAAAAAACACAGAATGAAATGCTAGAAATAATGAAACCTTTAGAGTAATTTTGTGAACACTGGGAAAAATGATAAAACAGATGGAAAATTGGAAAGCATTTAAATCAAAATTCCCTTTGAACATTTTCCCCCAAGAGTACTACTCAAAACTCTTGAGAGCAATACTGTAACCGTGAAAATACATTCTTCTGCTTATCATAAAAAATGGCACTTCGCAATTTCGTAAAACCCATGGGTCATTATCTAATTGACATAAGAAAATAAGTAAATAGAGGGGAGCTGGAAGAGAGTCTCCACAAACTACAGCAACTTATCCTTGGGGCAAGAGAGGTGACCCAGTTGCCCCAGTTCAAGGGTTGGGCGGGACACTGTTCCCTTCCTCACCTGACAGTCCAGGAGCAGCTTCTGCACTGAGATCACACTTTCCGGTTTTTGTAAAGTTTTCAGTCTCTCTTCTTGTGCTTCCATCCAGTTGTTCAAAATCTGTATTTTATTTTCACTCTCAGTGATACTTTCCAGAAGTTGTTCTAAATGTTGTATCTAAGTGATGAATTTAACAATTACAAAAAATGTTAAAATGTATGTTTTAAAAGGTAAATGCCATGATGTTATTTTTTAAAAAACAATTTTGTTTCTTCTCAAATTTCTAAATAAGATGCTGATAACTTTTGAAATAAAGATTCATAAATCAGAAAACAGAATTAAAGCTCCTCTTACAAAAAAAATATATTTCAGGTGAAAACTAATCTGTTGAGAAAGGCAGCTATTGTGAGTTTCAGATGTGAACAAAATAAAATGTTCCTAACATTCGATATTTTTCATTGAGTCATCTATTAATATATGCAAAGTGTAAGAAAAATTTCTTTCTTCAGACTTTCTGCATTAGAGTTCTTAAAAATTTCTACAAATATCAATAATAAATAATTTATCAATTCAATAAAATAATCATTGTCTTTGATGTCTGTGATTCCTCTCATTCATAATAATTTTTTTATTAGGTCATAATTATAATATACATACATTTTTATATTCTTTTTTACAATACCTTATAAGTACTGTGTCATGACATAATTTTTTTTTTTTTTTTTAGACAGAGTCTCACTCTGTCACCCAGGCTGGAGTGCAATGGCGCAATTTTGGCTCACTGAAACCTCCGCCTTCCAGGTTCAAGCGATTCTCCTGCCTCAGCCTCCCGAGTAGCTGGGGTTACAGGCACATGCTGCCACGCCCAGCTAATTTTTGCATTTTTAGTAGAGACAGAGTTTCACCATGTTGGTCAGGCTGGTCTTGAACTCCTGACCTCGTGATCTGCCTGCCTTGGCCTCCCAAAGTGCTGAGATTACACGCATAAGCCACTGTGCCTGGCCTGTCATGACATAATTTTAAAAGGCTGCCCAGCCAGGCATGGTGGCTCATGCCTGTAATCCTGGCACTTTGGGAGGCCAAGGTGGGTGTGTTACTTGAGGTCCGGAGTTCGAGACCAGCCTGACCAACATGGTGAAACCCCGACTCTACTAAAAATACAAAGATTAGCTGGGCGTGGTGGCAGGCACCTGTAATATCAGCTATTTGAGAGGCTTGAGACAACTGCATGAATTCGGGAGGTGGAGGTTGCAGTGAGCTGAGATCGCACCACTGCACTCCAGCCTGGGCAACAGGGCGAGAATTCGTTTCAAAAAATAAAAATAAAAAAAGGTTGCCCCAATGTTTCATCAAATTAATACAGTATAATTTGATTAATTATTCCCCGACAGTGCGAATTAAGGCATGGTACCTTTTCATCGCTGTAAACGATGCTGAATTGAACACTCTGCGCATCATTTTCTTTTTTGAAGGACTATCTACTTAAATGTGTAAGAGGTGACTTGCTTGGTTAAGTGATAAGATTATTATTACGGTTCTTTAAATTTTCCAAATGCTTTCCAAGAGAGTACTTAAGCCATTATCAGCAACGTATGAACGTGACAGCTTTGGGTTTTGTCCTCATCTGATTTTTTTTTCTAATGTAATTAAGTGCATTATGTTACACAGTGTTTGAGTATCTGCTAATGATATCTTTCCATGTTTATTTGCTAACTATAATTTCCTCTTTTGTGAATTGTCTGCTCATGTCCTTTGTCCATTCATGTACTTGTTTCTTAATTGTGTAAATTCATTTGTATGCATTCTCTACACAGTAAACACACCAATTATCATTATGATTATATGTAAAGTATTTTTCCAGGAATAAGTTTTCCAAATCTTTTCAAGAGTCATGGAGTGAAAAATCTACCAAAAAGCCTTTTTCTTTCTTTTCATAAATCTTTTCAAAGCTGAAATAGCTTTGCCCCTTTTGAACATCTGCTTTCATAGAAAATGTAAAATCTCTGATCATTTAGGAGCCTGACATAATACTTGACATGTTCCTAAATAAAATTCCTCCTCTTCGCTTGCCTCGCTCAATTTCCCACTAAGAAATCTCAAATATAAGAACTATTTTCATATTATCTTATAGGTACCAATGGAGAATGCTAAAACATAGGATTTATAAAAGGGCTATGGTTGAGATGATTATTAGGCTTAGCAATCAGTTAGTCAACTAATTGAACGTCTTTTTTGATTTTTCAGAGAGTGTATTTTATAAAGGCCAAACCACACATCCAGCTGTGACCCAGGAACACACCTTTCTATTCAGCATTCCATGTACACGGTGCCACTGGCGGTTCATCTCCCCCAGGTGCTCTGCAAACTCCGTTCTTTCATAGCGCTTGCTTTCTACATCACAGGTGCTTAGCTGAAGTAACGACTGGTTAACAAAGTCCACTATCCACTGTTTATAGTCCATTTCCATTCTAAACTCCTAAAATAAGCAAAGTTAAACACCCAAAGCAGTCATGAAAGTTGGTCAGATCAACTGGATTTCCCTTTATGTACTCGAGGGGACGCCAAGCTCCCATCCATTAATCAAGGGGCACCTGTTAGGAGTTCCTTTCTACCCTCCCCAACCTACACCAGGAGTTGGCTTTATTGGAGTCGAGATTCTTTTGGGGAATTACACAGAGATGCATTGCTTTCAAATAGGCTGAAAAGTCAGAGGTGCACTGTGTGTGGCAGTTGCTATCATCTGAACCCAAATCAGGACCCAGGATATGACAAAGCTTCCTGGGGGAGGCTGCCCATGAGCTGTGCGGGAATTCAGGGCCATCCTGAGGGCTCATGGAAACAACCAGATGGGAAACAGGAAGGAAAAGCTCTCTCAGAAAACCCAGGACACCTTTAAGGAACTCTGTCATTTAGGCAGCTTCCCTGTTCCTTCGGGGATAGGTAAAGGCCTCTCAGGTGGCTTTAGAAGGTCTGGGTGGCTTTAAGTTGTACAGCAATCCTAAACCCACGCGGGGCCAACAACATTTCTGCCAAACCTGTCATTTATTGACTTCATCCTTGCAAGCTCTAGAACCTCTTTTGGAGACACCCAGGGGTGACAGCCATGTGGTATGTGCTAGGTTGCTACAGCCTATGAGAATGCACACGTGTAGACTTTTCAAAGATTTTACAACACACTGAAGTTAGGATGTGATGGTACATAAAAACAAAATCTTCTGCTAATATCATGCTTGGTGATTAAGCCATTCATGTTCTGCCTACCAGAAGCTAGTTCCATCAGCCTGCATGGTCTTAAAGCAATGGATCACACGTGTCACTCATCTTTGTATTCCCAGTGGCCAGCATACTGCCGAGCACACGATACATGCTTGCGTGTGGCTCATGAAATATTAAATCTACTTGAAATTAAATATCACAGAGAAGGCCACATTTATATCTCTTTGTAGAAGGATCTCAATTTTTTCTTACTCATTCTCTCACTCAAAGAACATTTCATTAACACCTGTTAGAGGAAGGCAGGTATTGGGATAGGCGTGCTATATTTTAGTGAGGTGAAGGACAGCCCCTGGTCTCAAGAAGCTCAGTCAAGGTGGGGAGACAGGCAAGCAAACCAATAATTATACTAATGCATGATGGGAGCTACTAATAGCGTGATGGAGACATCTAATCTAGGAAAGTCACCTAGTCTGGCTGGGAGAGTCAGGGGTGGATTTCCAAATGAGGACAACTCGAGCTGACTTTGGAAGGATGACTAAGAGGACGTATACAGTTAAACATGGGCCCTGGCATTCCAGGTGGAGGGTGCAGCATGTACACAGCATGATGAGGGAGAGCACCAAGAACAGTTAAGGAATCAAAATCACTCTGTCAGGCAGAGCCCGTGGTTAGTGGGGGCAGTGGGGTGGGGATAAAAAGATGAGATGAAAGTCTGTTAAAAGCTTGCTTGGGTTGTCCTGCGGTGATGGGGGCTGGCAATAGGAATTTAAGCAGAATAAAAGCAAGTCTACTAACATCTCTCTAGAATCATCCACCACGCCAGTTTCCTACTCCTAGAATCCATTTTTCGAAATTATATCCTATGTGTCCCTTTGTCCAGCATTACCCCTCTAACTGATTAGCCTTCTTGTTTCAATGAAAAGACTTCTGCTCCTTTTGCATAATTACCTTGTGCTTCTGAAGAAGATGTTTAACTTGAGATGCAGAACTTGGTGAATGCACGGAGTCTTCATCTGAAGTTTGATGCTCCACATTGTTCATCCAGCTAATCATTTCTGTGATTGCTTTACGAGATGGCAATTTCTCCATTTGAAGCTGTGAGAACAAAATGATTTCCATTTAATTGCCTGCAGTTAACAAAATGAATCAGGGCTTCACTAAAGATGATATCTGGTTTGATAAAAGGTCTTGCTATATAATTACGCAGGTTACTCAAAAAAACAAACCCAGCATTCAAACTTAGAATAAGCGACCCCAAAACAATGACAATGACCTTCACATAAACTAACACAGTGGCAAAGATAAACTGAGAAATAAAGTAATTAAGCCTGATTTCTCTCTTAAGAAAAATCCCATTGGAGGAGGGTCCAGTAATTAAGACCTATATTCACTGGTGCCAGAGAAAAATAGGTAGTGTCAATGAAAATTATTGAGTCAGAGAAATAATTTCGAAAGAGTTGTGAGCTAACAAGTGAACATTAATTCAAATGCTGAGGCTCTAAAGACTTACCTGGTGAAGTTTTTCTTGAATATCTGGAAGTTGAGTTATGAGCATTGTCCATTTTTGTTCAAACTGTGCTAAAGAAGCTCTCAGCGTAGCTGTATCAGTTTCCTTCAGGTGAAGAAGCTGGTTCCCGGTACTTATAACAGCAGTCTTCAAGGAGGACTTTTCATCAACTTCTTTTGAAAACTCCTAAAGGAGAGTTTTAAAATTTAGAAACTTAAAATTGAAATATAGCAGAAACTAAGAGTCAGAATAACTGGCTAGTAACAATTAAACATAGTAAATATTTGAATGTGTATACACACACACACACACACACACACCCCTTTTTCCTACTGTCGGGCATTACATACACAATGGGGAACAAAAGAGATGGAATGCACACCCCTCAAGAAGCTTATCACCCAGTGGGTTAGTATTTTTAAAAATAAGTCATTATTTAAATGGTTAAGTTTTACAATAAACTATGGAACCCAACACAAAGTGCATATTAAATGAATTACTTGAAACAAGTTTGTAATTAAAATGTTTAAATCTTTCCTATGTAGAGATTCTTTCAAGTATGTTGAAAAAATTTACATTTTAATACCAAAGTGAGTAACCACAGCTACAAAGTATGAAAAATGGAAAAAAACCAAGAAAAGTCTAATGGAAAAGACTACGTTTCATAAGTGCATTGACCAATAATCATTACGAAATTATATTACAAGAGTAATACCTTTTTATTTCCCCCAAAATTTGGGGGATATTTTTTGAATTTTTTTCCAAAAAACATCTCAAAACAATGGAACAAAAGCTTTTTAGTAGAAATATCAATTTTGTTTACAATAATTTAAAACTATGCCTTTATTAATGTTAAACATTTATAAGTTAGTAACCTTATAAAGTTGTTTTTGGGTCTTGTATTCTTTGTATTTGTAAAACATGACCTATGTCAGTGCAAGTTTTTAGAGACTGAGTTTCACTCCTGTTGCCCAGGCTAGAGTGCAATGGCACCATCTTGCCTCACTGCAACCTCCACCCCCCAGGTTCAAGTGATTCTCCTGCCTCAGCCTCCCGAGGAGCTGGGACTACAGGCATGTGCCACCACGCCCGGCTAATTTTGCATTTTTAGTAGAGATGGGGTTTCTCCATGTTTGTCAGGCTGGTATCGAGCTCCTGACCTCAGTTGATTCACCCACCTTGGCCTCCCAAAGTGCTGGGATTACAGGCATGAGCCATTGCACCCAGTGCAAGTTTTAAATTTATATATGTTTTATAGGGTCAATTAAAAATATATTTTATCATTATAAATGAATGAACAGTATAAACAGTTCTAGGTTTGAAGAATACAGCTACTATTTGCCCAAGTTTTATCCCTTATCCACAAATAAATACAAAAGACTATCACATTAACCCTGATGCTTTTTCCTTGATATTTATTTCTGGCCAGTAATATGCTATTACGACTTACAAAAAAATTGTCGATGTTGCTTCTGATTGTATCCAAGTCCTGAGACACATTGAGGGACTGTTCTTTCCAGTAATTCAGAGTATGCTGGGAAGATTCCAACCACTTGGTTAACTGATCCGAATCTCTGCTATAACTAACAGGTGCAAAGTGAGAGAGAAGGCAGATTAGAAACATACTCTGATAATGATATGCATCACCAGCAAATTGTCTTCTTATTTTATTATATGTTTTCCTATGTTGATTAGTCCTAACATTCAGAATATCGTGATGTTAATAAGGATTATATCATGTTTTATACCATGCCCCAAGTCTGACGCCCCTGGCATTTTCTAGGACTCTCTTCATTATAGCTTAGCAAGAACAATGAGGATTTTAGGCCAGATGCGGTGGCCCATGCCTGTAATCCCAGCACTTTGGGAGGCTGAGAAAGGTGGATTGCCTGAGGTCAGGAGTTCGAGACCAGCCTGACCAACATGGTGAAACCCCATCTCTACTAAAAAATACAAAAAAATAGCCAGGCATGGTGGCACATGTCTGTAGTCCCAGCTACTCAGGAGGCTGAGGCAGGAGAATCGTTTGAACCCAGGAGGTGGAGGTTGCAGTGAGCCGAGATTGCGCCACTGCACTCCAGCCTGGGCGACAGAGCAAGACTCTGTCTCAAAAAAAAAAAAAAAAAAAAAAAAGAACAATTAGGAAGTCTAAAGCATTCTTTTTTATTTCTTATTACAGCTATACAAAAGTACACCCAGTGAAGGGGCAGAGATTTTTATTCATCAAATATCTTCTATAAATGTGTTCATATTAAACATATAGGCCAGGCATGGTGGCTCACTCCTGTAATCCCAGCACTTTGGGATACCAAGGTGGGAGGATGGCTTGAGCCCAGGAATTTGAGACAGGCCTGGGCAACATGGCAAAACCCCATCTCTACAAAAAATACAAAAATTAGCCAGGCGTGGTGGCATGTGCTGTGGTTCAAGGTACTCAGGAGGCTGAGGTGGGAAGATTACTTGAGCCCAGGAGGTCAAGGCTACAGTGAGCCATGATCATGCCACTGCACTCCAGCCTGGGCAACAGAGTGAGACCCTGTCTCAAAAAATAAATAAATAAAATTATTTATTTATTTATATTTATTATCACACAAACCTTTCCTTGACTCTGAACTGAGAATGGCCTGTGAAGTCCATATGTGAGATGGGCTTTACGAGATATGTCTTCTTTAGTCTGGCAAATTTATTTAAAAGTCTTAGAACAATTTTTTTCTTTTTAATATTTTGAATGTAATAGAATCACACATTTTAACAGATATGGTCAAACACACACACACACACACACACACACACACACACACACACACACACACAGCATTTGTATAAGCTGTATAACAACAAACTGCTGTTGGCTGAACACCCAACATATTTGCCCGAGGTAGTGAAAATATTCAAACAAAATTCTGCCCTTCTTGTAACTTTTAAACTGCCTTAGGTTAAGAGGCAGGGATGAGAATGAGGTTTAAATGTTCCATGTTCTCCTCCTTCCTCACATGGTTCAAGATTATACCAACTAAGCACAACAAATTCTCCTTTGTTGTGAGGCTATTTCAAACTATTCTGTTAGCTAAAATCATTTAATTTTTTTAATTTTAAAACTTTTGGAAGAGGGTAGGAAAGAGCAATATCGTGGTATAAAGGTAACCTATATATATTTTATAACATAATTCCTAGCTTCTATAGAAATGTGTAAACTAGCTGGGTGCAGTGGCTCACACTTGTAATCCTAGCACTTTGGGAAGCTGAGGCAGGAGGATTGCTTGAGGCCAGGAGCTTGAGAGCACCCTGGGCAACAACGTGAGACTCCATCTCTATAAAAAAGTTTATAAAATTAGCCAGGCATGGTGGCCTATGCCTGTAGTCACACCAACTTGGGAGGCTGAGGCAGGAGGATTGCTTGAGCCCAGGGGTTCAAGGTTGCAGTGAGCTATGATTGTGCTACTGCACTCTATGCACTCCAGCCTGGGTGACAGGGCAAGACCCTGCCTCCTTAAAAATAAAAAAGAAAAGAAAAAATGATCACAGCAAACTGACTACATGTTATGCTGTGTCTAGCAAACCATCAGAGATTCTACATCGTGTTTAGCCCAGAAGAGGGCCCCAACTGCTTTCGACTGCCCAAGAGAAAACAGCATAAGGCGGGTTGCAGGTAAAATTTAGTTGACTACAGAATCCCTGAGGTCTTTCTCCACAAAACAATGTGAAGCCAGTCCACCCCCAAAAAGGCAGACCTGAGCAGATGCTTGAGAAGTGCTTGCAGCCTGTGGAGCTCATGGTCAATTTTCTTGTTCAGGGACAACCACTGCTCTTCCAGTTTTGCGATCTGGCCCTCTAATTCAGGACAGCTCACAGACGCCACCAACTGTTTGCCTTCGTTCAGAGTTTGGTAAAGCCGGGCGTGTTTTCCACCAATGTTTCTTTTTATTTGCTAATAAAAAGTAAAGTCATAGAATGAATTATTTAGAAAATAAAGTCTGCCAAGCTATTCACAAATACTGCATTTAAAACTGACATTTGTGTCTACTGATGAAACAGTAACACTTTCCCAACCTTCAAGACTATAGTCTGACTAGATGCATGATTAATGGTTTATTGGTCACCTTTCATGATAGGTGTCCAATCTCACATTTCTAGAGCACAGATTCAACTCTGTAGACTTACTGGCTGGGCGCATTAGCTCACGCCTGTAACCCCAGCACTTTGGGAGGCTGAGGTGGGTGGACCACCTGAGGTCAGCAGTTCGAGACCAGCCTGACCAACATGGTGAAACCTCCTCTCTACTAAAAATACAAAAAATTAGCTAGGCGTGGTGGCACATGCCTGTAATCCCAGTTACTTGGGAGGCTGAGGCAGGACTTGGTGGCCTGCACCTGTAATCTCAGCTAGTCAGGAGCCTGAGGCAGGAGAATTGCTGGAACCCAGGAAGTGGAGGCTGTGGTAGGCTGAGATTGTGCCACTGCACTCCAGCCTGAGCGACAGAGCGAGACTGTCTCAAAAAAAAAAAAAAACCCCAAAAATAAACCAAATCAACTTTATAGACTTACTACATACAAACAACAACCAAGCTGGCACTCTTTAGGCCACGCTGGGCTCACAGACAGGTTTTGTGTGACCTTAAGATCAGTTTGAAAAATCAGGAAATCTAGGCCAGGCGTGGTGGCTCACACCTGTAATCTCAGCACTTTGGGAGGCTGACAGGGGCAGATCACGAGGTCAGGAGATTGAGACCATCCTGGCTAACACAGTGAAACCCCGTCTCTACTAAAAATACAAAAAATTAGCTGGGCGTGGTGGTAGGTGCCTGTAGTCCCAGCTACTCAGAGGCTGAGGCAGGAGAATGGTGTGAACCCGGGAGGCGGAGTTTGCAGTGAGCCGAGATCGTGCCACTGCACTCCAGCCTGGGTGACACTGCGAGACTCTGTCTCAAAAAAAAAAAAAGGAAGAAAACCCAGGAAATCTTACATAATAATCAGGATTGCCAGTGTCTCTGGGAAAACTGGAAGACCCAGCAATTGTTGGTCTGCATCTCATGTGGCAAAGGGTGGCCGTAACTGAGCAGCAGCTGCCAGCTCTAGGAGAGCCTACTCCCTTTTTCCCTCAGCTCAGTCCCTACCACCCCTCTGACTGCAGAGCCACCAGGTGTTCCTTATTTCTGTTCTGCCCCTGGAAGCACTTCAGATGGTGACTTACATAAGAAGAGGATAAATAAAATACTATTTCTCTATTATCCATGAGATGCAAATACTAGGCAGAAAATTCATTTCCAGAGTCTTCTACGGAATATAAAGATTCAGTAGACAGAAAGGAAGAAAATTTTAGAAAAATAAATTAAAATAGCATATCATTAATCCAACTCCATGGAAAGAAAAATGAAATTATGTGAAGTCTGTCTAAAGGTAATTACCTAACACAGCTGGATTCATCTAATGCCATTTATCCTGACACCTGTTTAATCTTAAAAAATAAATTATCAAAACAAAAGGTTTGCTATTTTCAAATTAAGTTAAGCCTTTTAAGAAATTACCAAAAAATTCCACTTCCATGGCCCTTTCCACCACTCCCATTTGTAATCCCCTCCCCGTGTCTGAGCCTGTGTGGGCTAGAATGAAATATCAAACATCTGTATTAAAAGAAAAAAAAATCAGTTTAATTTTCTAAGTGAAATGCTAGATTCTTCATCTTTAAAACATCTCTGAAAAGTCTTAATTCACCTTCCCCTTTTTTTTTTTTGAGATGAAGTCTCGCTCTGTCACCCAGGCTGGAGTGCAGTGGCGCGATCTCGGCTCACTGCAGCCTCCGCCTCCCGGGTTCCAGCAATTCTCCTGCCTAAGCCTCCTGAGTAGCTGGGATTATAGGCACATGCCACCATGCCCAGCTAATTCTTGTAGTTTTAGTAGAGATGGGGTTTTACCATATTGGCCAGGCTGGTCTCCTGACCTCAGGTTATCCGCCCACATCGGCCTCCTAACGTGCTAGGATTACAGGCGTGAGCCACCACGCCCAGCCTAATTTATCGATTATATGCATGGAGACAGTCTGTACACGAGTAACTAGGCCGAACCAGCATTTGAGCACAGGTTTGTTCGACTTCAAAGGCCACACACAACTGACCCCTAGGTTCCACGCCCCACAGACGACGGCTGATCAAGATGACGACATCTGTCAGAGTCACACAAACCTTTCCTTGACTCTGAACTGAGAACGGCCTATGAAGTCCATATGTGAGATGGGCTTTATGAGATACGTCTTCTTTAGTCTGGCAAATTCATTTAAAATCTTAGAACAATTTTTTTCTTTTTAATATTTATGGTTACTTCTGGAGAAAACAATCACACTCATATTACTTTGGCTAATATTAGACTGTTGCTTAAAATAATAAGCCTTAAAATAGTGTTCTCAACTGCATTCTTTCAGCTGTTTAGACGCTACCTTTGGTATCCCTAGACTAACAAAGAGCTAAACAGTACTCCCATCACCCCCACTCCCACCCACCCCAGAGGATCCAGATTTACCTTAGAGTTAGGCTCAATATAATTAATAAGGTGGCAATGAGACCAACTGTAGCCTTCCAGACATCTAGGGAGTATAAATACAGTGTCCCAGCCTCTGGAAAATGTTCTTTATAGAGGCTAAAATATCTCCACGGAAGAGAGAGCCCTGGAAGTATTTCCTGCTTTCATTTTCCACCTAGTTCATTCAGGCGATAAATGTGCTTTTGAAGTTTTAAAGTTGATATTTGATAACTGCCACTGGCCGTACAACTCAGATTCTGACGGCATATACTCTAAAGTTAAAATTAGAAATTTTAAGTTCCTGGTGAGAAGACTTAAAACCTGTTTTTTATCTTGTTAGTCATGTTCTCAATGCCACTTCAAAACCATTTTAAGATTTTATCTTTTCTTTGGCACCAAAATTAGAGACACAGAGACTGATGACAATAATACAAAAAGTTACACACAAAAAGTTTAAACATTTGAGGGTTTTTTGTTTGTTTGTTTTGAGATGGAGTCTCGCTCTGTCGCCCAGGCTGGAGTGCAATGGCGTGATCTTGGCTCACTGCAACCTCCACCTCTCGGGTTTAAGCAATTCTCCTACCTCAGCCCCCCAAGAAACTGGGATTACAGGTACACACTGCCACACCCAGCTAATTTATTTTTATTTTTATTTATTTATTATTATTTTTGTATTTCAGTAGAGACAGCATTTCACCATTTTGCCCAGGCTGGTCTCAAACTCCTGAGCTCAGGCAATCCACCTGCCTCGGCCTCCCAAAGTGCTGGAATTACAGGTGTGCACCACTGCACCCGGCCCGGGATGTTTTTATAATGCTGGTGGCAGGTAAGATTATTGTCTCTCTCGTGGGCTGCATCTACTCAGGACTTCACTGTAGGAATAAAACTAAATATATGTTTAGAGGCCGAAGGCTGACAAAGTTATTTCCATTCTTCAGCTCATTTCCATACTAGTAGCTCATTGGCATTCACTTCCAGAGACAGGTGGAATTGGCTCGATTATCTACGTTCCACAGATTAAAAAACTGAGGCTTAGGGACAGCAAGGTCACAGAGGTGATAAGTGATGGAGCCACGACTCAGATAAGGTCCTCTCCCCTACGCCAGACTTGTGTTTATGCTGAGGAGTTCACATTCAAATCTGCAGTCTCCCTGAATACATTCAACAGTGAGCTGTATGATGAACGTTTTGTTTCAATTCAAACCTTCAAAACCAAGCCACTTAGTCAAAACAAATGTAAAACACAAAGTGCTATGGACATGTCTTTGATAACTTAAATGGAAGAAAAATACCTGGTAAAACGAAATCCTTTCCACTAATCTTTCCTCTGTCTCTTCCACCAAACTCACAGAGGGCAATGTAGATATAAGAATTTCCAGGTCCTTTTCAAGAGATGCATAGTTTTCATCAAATTCTTCCCATTTCTAGAGAATCAAGGACATAAAATCAATGGAAGCCTTTACTAGATTGGTTCCAGATAACAACACAATTCATCACCAAACAAAAATGAACACCAAGACCATACAAAATTAAAGCACAGATTCCAGGTGTGTCAGAGACGTAACCCACTCTGGTAAGCGCTCATCATCGAATGGAAAAGAATTCCATTGCCTTTGAGGACAAGGTTTAAAAAGAATCTCAGTTGGCATTTAGTGTTTTATGCTTGTCTTGTCAAACTGGGTAACATGACTAAAGGAGTAATACAATGAAGTTAAAGTGATACTCTTAGCAACTCTGTAGAGACCTCAGAGCCACAAGAGACCCTTTCTCTTACTAGGAAAGGGAAAGAGCTAAATTTTAGACCCTTATTCAACAGAAGCTCTTATTAGGCTGCTCTTGCTCTCCACGCCCAAGCCCACGCCCATCAAACCCCCACGCCACTTGAAGCATAGGTCTGCTCAGGGTATCTTTGAGGAGTACAGGCTTACACGTCATCAGGGGAGAACAACTGCCTTAGCTCTAGTCTTGTCATCTTTCAGCTTGTCCCGTTTTCACAGACGCCCACCCCTAGGATCCCAACACACCACAGAGCTGAGTTACTGACTCCAAACATCATCTGTTAGAAAAATAACCATCTCACTCATTTCCATATCTATTCACATAGTGGCTCACTTAGCTTTTATAGAACACTCACTGGGTCCATGGAGTCTTTTTAAAAAAACACCACGACATATTAGAAATATCAACTTGACACACTAACTAGAAAATAAATTTTGTTAGCAAAAAATAACACCATATTATATTATCAAGTTAAACATTTCCTTCCTTCTTTTTTTTTTTTGAGACGGAGTCTCATTCTGTCACCCAGGCTGGAGTGCAGTGGCACATCTCGGCTCATTGCCAGCTCTGCCTCCCGGGTTTACACCATTCTCCTCCTTCAGCCTCCTGAGTGGGTGGGACTACAGGCGCCCGCCCCCATGCCCAGCTAATTTTTTGTATTTTTAGTAGAGACAGGGTTTCACCGTGTTAGCCAGGACGGTCTCAATCTCCTGACCTCGTGATCCACCCCCCTCGGCCTCCCAAAGTGTTGGGATTACAGGCGTGAGCCACCGCGCCCAGCCTCCTTCCTTTTTTCTTTATTTCCTTTAAGTACTAACATTGGCTATGAAAGGCTGTGAGGGGAATGCCTCAAAACTGAGAAGGAGCTTTATGCATGCTTATTTTTTTTCTTTGAATTTAGACAAGATTGTCATTACCCATTTTAGAACAGCTGGGCCTGTTCTCTTGAAGAAGTAGTTTCTAAACCAGTAACTGTTTCACCCAAATGATCTCATTCAAGGTCTCAAAGTGCTTATCGTTTTGCTTATTCATACATGAACCTAAAAGGCAGAGAGACGCAGTACCATCCCAAATCTATGTACGAGAAATCCCAGCCAACCTTTCCTTCAGGGAGTGGCCTCAGAACCTGAGCAGGGGTCCACATTCCACATTCCTCACTGTCAGGCTTCCATTTAACTATAGCTTAATGATAACTAGGTACTTCTTCTCAACACCTGGGGTGGTGATGGAAAATCAGGAATTCCCAGCTTCAGTACAACGTTTACAGAACCCAAATACCTGCAACAAACTCCGTAGCTTCATACCACGTTGGCGTGACTTTTCTTCTAGTATTTTAACTTCTGTTATTTGTTCTGCCCAAAATGTCTCTCTCTTTTGCAATAAAGAAGGAAATACTTTGGCAGAGTATGCTTGGATCAACAACATGTCAGCAACAAGCTTCTGGAAAAAAACCTATGAGATGGAGAAAGTTTTAATATTTATTTTGAAATTGTGAAAATCTTAAAAACCAAGTTACTTCAACTTTATATCCAGTTATTTTTGTTTTAAATCCAAAATCCCAGGACATCCATGTAGAGTCAAATTGACCAGCCTGGCCAGCATGGTGAAATCCCATCTCTACCAATAATACAAAAATTATCTGGGCATGGTGGTGAATGCCCGTCATCACAGTCATTTGAGAGACTGAGGCAGGAGAATCATTTGAACCCAGGAGGCGGAGGTTGCAACGAGCCGAGATCATGCCACCGCCACCGCACTCCAGCCTGGGCGACAGAGCGAGACTCCCTCTCAAAAAAAAAAAAAAAAATCTCTTAGTCTTTGAACACTAGTGGAACTTCAATGAATTATAAAGAAGTATTATCCTTAAGTGTTATTTTCCACTAAATAATCCATGTTAAATGGCAAACATTTTTGTCAATTTCCAGATAGAGCTTTCTAAATCAGTTGTTTTGAGTCTAAATGCTACAAAAAGATAGAAGCCAGTTAGGTGTGGTGACACACATCTATAGTCCCAGCTACTCAGGAGGCTGAGGTGAGAGGATTGTTTGAGACCAGGATTTCGAGGCTACAATGAGCTATGATTACACCACTGCACTCCAGCATGGAAAACAGAGTGAGACCCTGTCTCTTAAAAAAACAAAAACAAACAGACAAAAAAAACAAAAAACAGATGCCACTGTGGCTGATGAATTTCAAGACAAGTTGGATGGACAGACGTGCAAACTCAAGCAGCCCGCATATTCAAAAGACAGGACGCCTTAACCTTGGCTTTAACTTCCACTCAAGAAAATGACGAAATAAAGGGGATTTGCTGATTTATAGGAATCCTGGACATAAAGCTTCCTGTATTTGTATTTGAACTTCAAGAACCTTTCAAGAGGAAGGCTTTATTTCACCTGGTTCTTCTCCATTTACTGCCTCCTCCAGTTGTCTGTAGGGAACCCTCCGTATTATGTGAATCCCTTCTCTTAAGCCTTGAAAATGACATATACATAGAGACGTTTACAAAAGCATCTAGCAAGGGGCCTGACACACTGTAGATAATCAACATTATTTTCTCCTCTTCCCCTCCATCCTTCATACAATATTTGCCTTTCATCTTTTCTTAGACTAAGTTCTACCTTCCAAATGCTAGACCGTAAGCTTACCTCAGGTAGGAACTGTCTTACACATTTTTAATTATCAGCACCTAGATTACTCTTTATCTTTAGCTGGTGATCAAGAGGTTTTTGTTTAATGAAATGAATTTTAAAAATGAACGGATTTATTATAGTCGTATACTACATAATAATATACCTTCTGTTTGATTCCAGTTCTTAGGAAAGTCTTTTCTTCTTCTTTTTTTTTTTTTTGCTGTGTCACCCAGGCTGCAGTGCAGGGGCGTGATCTCAGCTCACTGCAACCTCTGCCTCCTGAGTTCAAGTGATTCTCCTGCCTCAGCCTCCTGAGTAGCTAGGATTACAGGCACCTGCCACCATGCCCAGCTAATTTTTGTATTTTTAGTAGAGACGGGGTTTGACCATTTTGGCCAGGCTGGTCTCGAACTCCTGACCTCAGGTGATCCACCCACCTTGGCCTCCCAAAGTTCTGGGATTACAGGCATAAGCCACCGTGCAAGGCCAGGAAAGCCTTTTCTAACTTTCCTAAGTCACCTTCTGCTATTAAATGCTCTCATAGAATGGATCCTCAATTTAATTTGTTTGAAGACTTGTTGATAAATGTCTATCTTCTCAATCAGGTGAAAGCTCCATGAATATAAGGAACTGTGTCTGTTTTTACTCATAGCCCAAACTCCCAGCATGTACCAGGGTTCCTTGTACACATTAGGCATTCTAATAGATGTTTATTAGAAGGATGAATAGCTTAAATTTCAACAAAGAAGAAAAATGGATCCTTTCTGTTCACATTCAGAAATACCTTAAGATTTTAGTCTATGAAGGGGACATCTGACCCACATGTCTGTCTCACCTTGTGATTTTCTATTTGAGCCTGTAACGCCACTTTACTTTTGGTTTGTTTTAAGTGGTCATGAGCAAGCTTTTCCTTCCCAATCTTCACCAGTTCTACCATGCCTTGCAACAAAGCATCTTGCTGGCTCTCAGTGATGAAAGGACTGCTGAGTTCTGTGTACCTGGCTCTTAGCATTCCCCACATACTGTCAAGTACATCCTGAAAAGAGAAGAGCAGGTGCACAAATGCATTTTCATCCAACCGGGGCAATAACTGAAAGACAAATCTACTCTGTTGGTGAAAGAAAAGAATCTGACTCCTCACAATCACAGTGCTGAGTCAATGTTTTCTGCTCAGGCATACCTCTAATTTGTAAACCTCCTGGAGTAAAACGTAAGGTAAATGAAGCCTCTCCCCTTCATCTCGTAGTTTGACCACTCGGCTCTCAGCGTTCTCCAGCTCCACTGTATATCCATCTGCTTTCTAAGTGAGAGACAATACAAGAAAAGAAAACCCTTCAATATGTCAGAGAAGCACACATAGTCATCTAAAAAGAATTAAACAGTACAGAAAGGGATGAAGGGAAAAACGAAAATCCCAGTTCCTGCTTCCTCACCTCTCCTTAACAATCTTCCCAGAGGTTCCCAGTTCCTAACATGCTCCATACCAGTAGGGGTATACGCGCATATCCTTAAACTCAATGAACTGCACCACAGCACTCTGTCCTGTGGTTAGCATTCCTCACTCACCAGCTCTTCAGCATCTCTTCACATCAGTATACACATATCTAGCTCCTTTGAAACAGACACACAGCATGCTATTGTTAAGGGTGTACCCTGCTTTTGTATCAGTCAGCTCTCAATGGACTTTTAGGTTATTTACAGTTTTTAACTCAAGCAGAGCTGCTGGGTCCATCCTTAAATATTTATGACTTATTTATTTATTTATTTGTTTAGAGACAAAGGTCTGGCTCTGTCACCCAAGCTGGAGTGCAGTGGCACAATCTCAGTTCAGTTCACTGCAACCTCTCCCTCTCAGGGTCAATCAATGATCACGCCTCAGCCTCCTGAGTAGCTGGGACTACAGTTGTGTGCCACTGCACCTGGATAATTTTTGTATTTTTAATAGAGACAGGGTTCACCATGTTGGCCACGCTGGTCTCGAACTCCTGGCCTCAAGTGATCCACCTGCCTCAGACTCCCAAGGTGCTGGGATTATAGGCGTGAGCCACCATACCTGGCCAAACTATTTATCTCTATGCACTTATCTTATATCCTTAGGAGGAGTACAAGTTCAGCACCTCAAACAGTGCCTGAACATAGTGGATCCTCAATTAATATTTGCTAAATAAATGAAGTCAAATGATTGCTGGAAGAGAGAGTATTTATGTTTAAAATTCTGATATACAGACAAAGGATCCCCAGGGCTCCCCTGGCAAGAGGATGAGGGTCTCATTTTCCAATATCCTTACCAACAGTGGACATACACATTTTGTCATGGTTGACAAGTGAAAATGGTCTCCTGTTGTTTTAATACATCGTGCTTCAGAAAATTAAGAGATGTTTTTAAAAGGTCAACATAAATAGTTTTCACTTTTTATTTACGTACTTAAGCCTTGCTGCTGCTCACAAAGGAAAGTAGTTCAGAAGCACGGCTTAAACGCAAAGCTCTGTGGTTCAAAGTTCAGTCAGTCTGGATTATTTTGACTTGATTACCTGAAGCTGTTCAGCAACACTCTGGCCACTGATTTCATTCAAAGACTGTTGTAAAGATGTCTTACTCTTAATGAGCTGATCATATAATCTCTTTATTTCATTCTGTAAGATAAATGCAGGAAACTGAGCAATCTCGTTTAGGCCTTCATTATCTTTTTGTATATTTAGTTGGTTTTTATAATTTTTGTGACATTTGAAATTTCAAACAAATACAAAAATAGAGAAATCCCCATTGTATCATCATTAAACTTCAACAATTATTGATTCATGGCTGACCTTCCTCCCTCTACATCCTCCCTCCAGCTCTCAACTGTACCTAATCTCCTTTCCTTCAGGCTATTTTGAAGCAAATCCCAGGTCTCAAGTCATTTCATCAGTATATGTTTCAGTATATATTTCTAAAAGATAAAGATCCTTCTCTTTAAAAATACTCCAATATACTCCTCCCCTGCCATCAATAATAATTCCTTAGTATGATTTAACTACCCAGACAGGATTCACATATTCTTAATTGCCTATAATTTTTCTTTCTATTTCAATGAGGATCCAAATGAGGTCCGTATGTCATGATGGATAAGTACATCTTAGATCTCTCTTAATCTGCAGAATCCCCGACCACGTTTCTTTTCTGTTTCTTGCATGTGTGTGTGTGAAAAAATGGGTCATTTGTTCAGTACAGTTTCCCACAGGCTGGATTTGGCAGACTACACTCCCAGTGTGCTGTTTAACCTGTTCTTCTTTTCTTGCGTCTGTTTTACTTGGATTCTAGAAGCTTGGTCAGATTCAGGCTTGATTTTTATGGGCAAGCCTCATTATAAATAGTATTGGGTTTCATTTCTTTTTCATTAGATAATTTTAGTAGCTTCCTAACTCTTCTACCTGCCTGGAGTCTCTCCCTCTCCAATTTACTTTAGACAACTGCTGGAGGAATCTACCTGAAACATACACGGATTGTCATTCCTTACCTCAAAAGTGTTAATGGCTCCCTCTAGCCTAGAAAAACAAATACAAATGCCACCCCCCCATTTTAATTGTTAAATGGCTAAATGTAATACAAGAAATTAAACATTATGTTAGTTCACCCCAACAAATTCATACTCAAGACTCTATTTTTATCTTTTTTTTTACTTTTTTCTTTTTTTGAGATGGGATCTATGATGTCGAGGCTGGTCTCGAACTCCTGGGCTCAAGCAATCCACCTACCTAGGCCTCCTAAGGGCTGTGATTACAGGCATGAGTTACTGCGCTCAGCCAAGACTTCAAAAAGGGCTTCACTTTCTGTTTTCTTGAGATGGAGTCTCGCTCTGCTGCCCAGGCTGGGTGCAGCAGTGTGATCTCAGCTCACTGCAACCTCTGCCTCCCAGGTTCAAGCAATTCTCCTGCCTCAGCCTCCCAAGTATCTGGGATTACAGGCACGCGCCACTATGCCTGGCTAATTTTTGTATTTTTAGTAGAGACAGGGTTTCACCATGTTGGCCAGGATGGTCTCAATCTCTGGACCTCAGGTGATCTGCCTGCCTCGGTCTCTCCCAAAGTGCTAGGATTACAGGCATGAGCCACTGCACCCAGTCAGGGCTTCACTTCAAATGATCTCCAACCATGAGCAACAAACAGAAGAGTCTCATCATTTTCCTTAGTAATTCTTATTAACAAATGTCACCAGGGATAGTAATTAATAGGCATTAGGGGTCCATGCTGTAACTTAAAACAGTGCTAAAATAGGCTGTGTGCTCGGAATCATACCTGGTAACTGCAGTTGTAATCGAGGCCAGCCTTCAGGCACTTGCTTCTATAGACAGCTGCAGCCTGAGTGTGCTCCAGGCAGACTTGAAGGTTGTCAAAACATTCAAGGAGCAAGTTGGTGTTCTTGCCAGGCCAAGTCATGGCTTTCAAAAGATCACCCTTCTTGTCACTCAGTGCTAAATAAAGTTTCTTCAACTCAAGAGCCAGTGTCTGAAGTGGAGAGGAAGGAAGACAATGAATGAGCTCTGACCTCAAGAGGCTTCCACTCAGGCTTAACTCACGGGGCTGCTGTAATGGCCAAACACATGGGTTTGTGAGAAGTGCCCTACCTCGCAGTGCACCTGCTGGCCAGAACCATCCTCCCTGTAAAGCCTGGGCATCTCCAGCATCTCCTCCACACTGCTGAGGCACTGACTGAGGGTCAGGAATAGTTCAAACAATTTTTTATCCAAATGGATGCATGCTTCTTCTGTCATATTTTCCTGAATCAAGAGGAAAAAAGAAAAAGAAAATCAGGATACCTTTGCCTTCCTAGACCTATATTTTGCCTAGTTTCCATTATAGTTTACGATTTATGTTATGCTTCTTTTGTAATAAGTTGCTTCAAACACTTTGTGAACTAGGTAGCAGAACAAATAAATAAACTCACGATGTTAAACTCGGAGAAAAACGAGTTTAAGAAGCTCAACATTAGGTAGTTATTTGAGTACTGAATGGGATTAAAAAGCCATAAGATGAAGGATCTCTTAGCAGGGCGATCCAGGTGAAAGTGTGGTCCCAGATAAATTACACTGTCTCCTTTACCACTGTTTCCCACCCTCCACATTCCAATGTAGGAGAAAGCGGTTAATGAAATCAAGTGTAGCCTGGAGAAGGAAAAGAAGTCAAAAAAGAGAAGCCTGAAGCGGTTGATTACAAAGAGTGGGTACAGTGTCTTAAAGACAGGAGCAGCCTGCAGAGGAGGGAGAAGTGTCATTTATGAGCCAATTGTGAGAATCAAGGCTTAGGTGTATGACTCCAAGCACGTCCCCAGTGTCGTGCATTGGGCTTGGTGAGTCTGGGAGCCACAGATCTGTTTTAGCATAAGCTGCTGGGGTCACCTCTTTTACTTTACCCACAGCTACCCTGAATTCTTGAACAGTTACAAGTAGTTTAGGGGCATGCCATAGCTAGTCAGCACTCCAGCTTGGGCCCTATCTCCTACTCTCTTCTCTGATGGACACCGCACATAACCTAGCAAGCTCAGTGTTAAGTCTGCTCAGCGTTGAAAACCATGCCTATACTCCCTCCCTACTCTTCTCCCTCACCCTTCCAATCCCAGATCACCACTGCAGACAGAACTCATCAATCATGATCCTCTTTCCTGCTGATCCTGGACTCAGAATCCTTTGCACACAGTCCCTAGGAAATCATTACAAAATTTATTAGAGTTCGCAAGCAAGATCAATTCTATTTGCAATCCTAGGACCCATTCCACTGTGTGTCCTATGACTTGTTCTGTGACGACAATTATGACCAAGTCACAATGATGGTATCTCCTTTCTTTGTTTATATTACTGCAATGAGGAAAATACATCGTGTGCAGCTTCTACCTGTGTCTGAAGGTTACTTGCTTCTTGGCGCAGGTCTTCAAGTTGGGTGGTGTAGGTTTTCAGTTCTTCAGTTGTTGGGTATCTAAAGTTATACATACTCACACTGGGTAGAATACCCATATTTGTGGAAACCTATTTGACAAAGGGAAACTCTATTAGTGACAGTTTTAGACTCTGCTGATGTTAATTAATTAATTTTTTTATTTTCAAGATGGAGTCTTGCTCTGTCGCCCAGGCTAGAGTGCGGTGGCATGATCTCAACTCACTGCAACCTCTGTCTCCCATGTTCAAGCGATTCTCCTACCTCAGCCTCCTGAGTAGCTGGGATAATAGGGACCAGCCACCATGCCCGGCTGACTTTCGTATTTTTAGTAGCGACAGGGCTTTGCTGTTAGCCAGGCTATTCTCGAACTCGTGACCTCAGGTGATCCACCTGCCTCAGCCTCCCAGATTGCTGGGATTACAGGCATGAGCCAACATGTCCAGCCTGCTGATGTTAATTTAAATAGAAAAAGATACCTTAGCATGCTGTCTTCTGAGTCATTTTCTTGGTGAGCATTTTTGTCTGTCTTGTCATTTATAAGAAAAAATAATTAAATTAAGTTTTAATATTTTGGACAGCTTTGAAAAGTCATGACTAGTTATATTTAGATACTTGAGGGTTCATTTAGATATCAAAATGAGAGGAAAGGCCAGGTTCAGTGGCTTATGCCTATAATCCCAGTACTTTGGGAAATAGAGGTGGGAGGATCCCTTGAGGCCAGGAGTTCAAGGGAGTTCAAGATCAGTCTATACAATATAACAAGACACTTTCTCTACCAAAAAAAAAAAATTATAAAAAAAATTTTAAAGTAGCTGGTCATGGTGCTACACACCAGTAGTCCTAGTCACTCGGAAGGCTGAGGCAGGGGGATCATTTGAGCCCAGGAGTTCAAAGTTACAATGCGTTTTGGTCATGCCACTGCACTCCACCCTGGGTAACAGCGAGAACCTGTTTCTTTTTTCTTTGAGACAGAGTCTCGCTGTTGTCACCAGGGCTGGAGTGTAATGGCGCAATCTTGGCTCACTGCAACCTCTCTCACCCGAGTTCCAGCAATTTTCCTGCCTCAGCCTCCCAAGTAGCTGAAATTACAGGCGCCCACCACCATGGCCAGCTAATTTTTGTATTTTTAGTAGAGACAGGGTTTCACCATGTTGACCAGGCTGGTCTCGAACTCCTGACCTCAGGTGATCCACTGCACCTGGCTGAG